GCTGTACCTGGTGCGAGCCAAATCACAACCGCATTGTCTCGAACAAAATGACTCGTTGAGAATGAGAAGCCTCAAAGGTGAACAACAGCAGCAACAACAACAAGAACAATAACAAAAACAACACCTGTTTAACTTTACAGAACACCTACGTCAATATCGCCTAACTCCCAAGACCATCCAAAACCTAGCTTTCCAAAGGGCACACACCACAGCATGCATGTTGATAATATATGAGGTGCGGACAAAATTATTTGTTCATCCAATATGCAATGGGTCGTCCCCTATCAGTTGTGAGTCCCCTATCGGTTGTGAGGATTTGGGCGTTTGAAGTGTGATGTCATGATGGTGTATTTGTGAAGTATCGGTTGTCCGTGTCCATGTTGCACTTTGTTTACTGTGTGGTTGTGTGGTTGTGTTTCCATGGGCACCAAAGCATGTACACCTGCAAAAAAAGGGTATCGGTTAGTACAGTATCAGTTGAGCTGTCCGTGAGAGCTCAACCGATAAATCCACAAATTTCCAGAGGCCCAAGGCAATACATTGGTTTTCAGCACGGCAGACTCACTTGACAATGGTGTGATAGCCCTTACTAAACCCTACTATATAACCCACTCTGGTTCAGAACTGCTCCTATTGAAAAGCACCTTGGATTCCAATGCGCAGCCGTCAAAGTACCAATGCTAACCAAAACAATCTTGGTAGGTATAGGGGTATCGGTGCTGGGCCATCCCCTATCGGTTGTCAAGGATTTTGTCACCTCTCTAAAGCACAAGGCGGCCTCTTACATATTTATTACTCCAATAATTTTGTCGGATGCTCTTATGTATATATATATATATATGTAGATAGAAATACATGTTACCCCTTCCCCCCAGGTACCTATATATAATGCAGGCTCAAACCGCTGAACATGTCCAGCATTCAAAGACAGGATGCTTTACAAACAACTAGGACCAGGATACTCTGTTGAACAGTTGTGGGCTTTGCAGCAGTTCTCTTTTCCCTAGTGCTGCTCCACCCCAGCGGGTGTGAACAAAGGACTTGTGTGCTAGTGGGGAGCCCCCCCTGTCTTGGGCGCTCCCTAGCCACTTCTAGCACATCTCTTAGCTTGGCAGTTGAAGCTGCGCTTTCCTGTGGCTGCGCTATTTTAGCTTCACGTTTTGTGTTTGTGATTGGGCTTCACATTTGATGCCTTGCCTGATAGCTTCAGTGTGCTCTTGCACGCCAAACACACCGCTTGGGACAGCCAAGGCTTGAGAACATGTCGAGCAACAAGGATAGATTACTTTAGAACAAAGCTGATGCAGCTCAAGTGGGCGCTCTACCACCCTTGGATCAGAATAGGATCGTTGTACAGTCCTTCACGTGAGACCCAGCACAAAATTGTGGGCGTGTATAACTGGATAATCGAAACGGCTCAAAACATTGCCTTTTCAAGAAAAACTACCGTTACGGCGTCTCTTTCCAAAGACGGTGTTTTTGGTTGTGACCAGTGGAAACCGGCAGGAACCAAAACAAACGGTGTCTTTCCGCGTCCAAAGGCCGTCTTCCCTCGTCCATGTTTGCAACCCCTAAAACAGCATGTTTGTTTTGTATTTTTTAGGGGGGTAGGCTGCTAGTAACTAGGTAGCTAGTAGAAGAGGTAGCTAGTAGCTTACTTAAGCTACTACATATGGACGCAGGATTCAGGATAGCTCGGGCTTCTTCAAGGAAGCGCTTGCACTAATGATTTGGTTCCTAGATTTTTAGGGAAACTTAAGTTGGAGTCATTTGTTTTTGATTATGGTGTCTTTTCATCAAAAGTTTGTGCCGTTTGAAGATCCAGTATATCTCTTAATCCTTAGCACACAAAAGGCTCCCCATCCAAATGTGCGCCCCGCATGATCATGGTGGAGTTTAATGGAGTTTATCCCGGTTTACCTTAGATGATGTTTGGCAAATTCATGTAGAAACCGTGCCTAACAACATCCACAAACCTGCACTTGAAACTAAAGCTATTGCATAATTGCATGCTATTGCAACTGTGGTCTTGCCTCATAGAACAATCCGTACTTTACCATACAGCCTTAGTATACAAAACCACACAATACGAGCCCGTTTGTCACAGGTTTTCAGGAGACTTCGTCTAATAAATAGAAACCAATGCCTTCATTGGTATGAATTTGTGTCCTTAAACACATCCTATACAACTGTCTCGAAAAGAAGCACCAATGTTCTCTTCTGACCGTACTAGCAAAGGTTTCGTTCCTGAATGGACAAGTTGTCCCAATGTGGTACTCATTGTTTGCAGTATGTTTTATCCTGTTTCTTAAGACATTTTGCACTATGTGTTTGGTCGTCAAAGACCATCACCATGCTTAAGCAAAAGTTGTCCGTTGTATACAATCTTCTGAACGCATGCGGTTTCGTGGATTTGTAGAAACACAGCAATGACAGTTTGCTACTCGTTGCTGTGAATCAAATGATTTAACTCCTTTCGATCAACCCAATGAACATCACATTAGACAAACTTTTCCATTTGGAAAAGGTCTTTGCTTATAAACACATCCAACTGCTTATAAGCAGTATCGCCACAACCTTTTGAGGATACCCATGAAACCAATCCAAAACTGTCACAGCTAGAAACACGTTGAAGGGGTACAAACAAAACAATGCAAACCAATGGAAAAAAAAAACATCAATACCCCCCAAAAACTAACGTGTTCGGGTCCAACCCTCGACCAAATTATATATAATCTAAACCAATCAAATCTCGAAAGCTACCAAAAAGGCCATCCAAACCAGTAAAGGTTTGCAGCAAAAATGTGAGAGGGTACCAGCATACAATATAAAAAATAGAAAAACTATTTCTGGCCCATGTTAGGACCAATAACAGTACATAGGTAAGCAAATTTTGTTATCGTTGGTTTTTGGACGCCTTGACTGGTTTTGATTCTTTTTGGTGCCTTTCGCGATGATTGATTGGTTTGGATGGGTTTCAGTGGGTAGTTGTCTTGTGTGCTTACAAAACAAGGATATTACATCATCTAATATTGTTCATTATGACGCTCATTCATTTAATGCAGAAGAATTCTGATTTATGGTTGATTCTCAGATGTGCATACCAATGTGTGATCAGTGTCATCCCTCACCCCTGGCAGTTGCGCAAAGTACTTCCATGTCATCCATTTCCGCATTTCCCAATAATTAGTATATGATGGCTTCTGAAAAAGCCATATGATCCAAGGCGATTCCATGTGTCACATGGGCTTTGGCATCGATAGGCAAGCCAATTACAAGCTGTTCTTCCTTCAATCCCATGTCCCAAGGTCACATCATGCAACCACATCAAGTGCCACGCTAGTAGTAACAAGTGCCACGCTAGTAGTTTCTTATTGTTACTACTAGTAAGGCACTTGTTTCTAATAGCGTGGCACTTGTTACTACTAGCTTCATGTCCCAAGGTCACATCATGCCACATCATCTGCAGAACGGCATGGCATGCGCCGGGCGAATTTTGCCGAAGCCACTCCGATGCCAAACTACTTCACTCGGCTTGTAAGCGCAACGGCGCATCAAAGCTTTTCTGGAATTGCATAGCATCTCCGTTACCCAAAGCTCCAGCACCAACCAACTTAGCCATGGCTTAACATATGAATGAAACAACGAGGGGCATTATTGATAATCTCCATGCCCTTTCAGATCTGGATGCATCGATCGATAGAATCATTGCTGACATCGGTCACACCTTTACAGGATTTTTGTCTCGGTCACTGTCTTCCCGCAACTGTCAGGGATGCAACATTGATTTTTTCTATGTGTATATTTTGTAATGCTATGAATACTCCATTGAGCCAAAGTGCAAAGGTGTTGTCCAAAGTCTCCAAATTTTAGCACTGGGTGTTTCCACCAGCGTTGTCCAAGATCGCAGGTGCTGCAGTACAGCAAAGCAAAATCGCAAAGCAAGATATGAATGCGGCAGGTGAAACACAATCAATGCTTTCCATATTTGATCTCAACCATCGCTACGATGCTCTGGAGGATCAAACAATGATTCTTGAATGTTCATTGCGGCAATTTCCTTCCATTTCCTCATTGCTGTTGCTTTATAACTTTAAGCATTCATGCCGACTGACAA